TATGATTGTTTACTTCCAGAGCTTATTACTTTACTTTAAAAACAACATAAAATATAACTTACATGGTAAAATTTCAATCAGGGTTACTCAATCAGACAACATCTAGAATATGCCATAAAAAATGTGATGCAAACAATATATTGAAGAGATCACTGCTGAAATGATGGGAAAACCCCTCAGTTGTAAAATAGGTACTGGGATCCTAGCAGGATTCCACCAAGAATCCCTGAACCTGAAGTGGCCAAATTTTCCCGGCAGAATCCTCTGGGGAAAAAAACCCGCAGGGCATCTTGGCATAAACCCTGCCTAGAAATCTGTCCAAGTTTGTCATGATCCTGCCCAGAAAAAAATAACTCCTGGATCCCAACAAGAATCCTAAGAGGGAAGCAAAATGTTAGCTTGGTAGTTATTCGCAGTGAGAAATAAATTCTTGACAAGAAAAGTCTTGTTTGTGGATAACCTGTACTGTGCCTGTGCCTATTTCTACTACAATCTTCACCATTGTCCCCACAATCTTTTTCAAAAATCCCAGATGGTGGAATTATTACAAAAGTTAATTACAATAAGAATATTAATAATCACAAAAATATTTGTTATATCAATGACTGATAAACAGAAATTGCCATAAATCTTTGGAATGTTTGTGCCCGGGGAGGGTGGCCAGTGCTTTATTTGAGGGAGCTAGGTGCTTAATCGAGTGAGGGCATTTAGTTAATTTTTCCAAAATCGTGGCCAGATACATGTATGACCGCTTTTGTTATACATCTGTGTGTAAACAACAACATAAGCCGTGTATCAAAATACAAAGCTGATCCTAGAGGTTTAATAGCAGCACAGATGTTACTTATAATTATTTTTCCAATGGCATGATCACAAACTAATATATATAGATTTAGCCAAGCCTACGAGCAGAGCTCCTTGGCCAGGTTATTCAAAGCCCAATTAAGCTAACCCAGGATAAGGGAGAATTTTGATTTGAGTTTTGTAACTTTGTGGTGAGGTTTTCTGTTTATATTGTTTGGCCTCCTATTTTGAGTTTGAATAATCTCAGACTGCACAAAGCAGTAAAAACATTCAAAATTAATTTATAGTTCGGTTAACTTTTAATCGCATTATCCTGGGTTAGCATTAACTGCCTTTCAAACACCCCGGCCCTAAATGCAACAAGTTAACCTGGCTTGAGCCTGCGAGATAATCGAAAAACAACACTTGGTCAGCAGTCAACTTCAAAAAAGCTGAACTGTAAACATGAGCCCGCAATATGGCCACGTGATACTGGTCAGCAGATACCTTGTGTCAATAATTGACCATAACATGGGTGTCCAATATCACAGGTGTGCATTGTAAACCAAGGCTGCATGACTTAGTATTAGCTGGAGTATGGCCACCATATTGCACGACATCGTTTTCGTCGTCGAAGGGCCCATTAATTTATTAATGATCTTGGGGACATCAGTCAGAAATTGATAAAATGTAAAATGAAAGGATTTAGTGGTGGAGGTGCTCACATGTATAGCTAAGTAGTTAAGAATACCGAGTTTACCTTAGTAGTTTGTTTCTGTGAGAAGGGACCTTTTATTTCAAGAAAACTAAGAAAATCAGTTTTCAAGGTCTCAAAAACTCAGAGCTCACACCCTGAAAACTCCCACCATCTGGGTATCTCAAAACTTTCCATCTCTCTGATTATATAATAATAATAATAATAATAATAATAATAATAATAATCGATATTTAAACAGGGTAACCCCTTCAGTCGCAGGACTGGTATCAATGGGGGCCCTGTATAACGTAAAATAAAAAGAGCATGTATAAATAATATATATCTATAAAAAAAACTAACTACTTTAAAAGATACGCTGAAATGTTTAAAA